GGCTGCGGGGGACTCTGGGTCCGACAAGGGGTCTGGGTCTCCTCACCCCGCAGCAGGGAAGCCTCCCCGGGGCCGAGGCGGGCAGCTGGCGTCCACAGTAACTGCTCTGTGTGTGCGGCTCTCCTGCAGGGCAGGAGGGGTGCAGAGCCTGCTTTGCCATTTGGTCCTTTTAGAGAACGTCTTGGCTGCAAGGGTCTCCTCCTGCCGTTTTTTCTTAAGGGGAGGGTTTGAGGGGTTGGAGTGAGCGGGGAAAGCTGGGAAGGGCTGACTGCTTTCAGCAGGAAGGGAGTCCCGCTTAGAGCAGCTTATAGGCCCCGAGGTCAAATACCTTGCCAGAAGCCACACACAAGCAAGGGCCGGAGAACTGGGCTCCAGCCTGTGTCTGGTCTGACTCCAGAGCCCAGGCGACCTACTCCGGTGCAGATGGAAAAGGAGGGTCTCTGCCCCGCCCCCTGAGTCACGGTGGGCTTGTGACCACAGTGGAGTCTGGCGGAAATGATGTGTGTGGCTCCCTAGTCAGGGCGTTAACGGCCACAGGCCTCCTCTTATTCACCGTAACCCTTGCTCTCCAAGCCCCAGGCTGCCACGTGGAGCGAGGCGGGGGAGGCCACCCGGAGGTGCTCTGGTCAACAGTCTCAGCTGGGCTAGTCCCTTGGCCACCCCAGCCCAGACACCAGACGTGGGAGTGGACGTGCCCTCTTGGAGGGGCCCTCCAGCAGAAGCGGCTGCAGCCCAGCCATCACCGTCACCACCAGCCGCCCGACCGTCCCATCCCTGGCCCGCATCCTGTGGTCCAGCACTCCCTCCACGCCCTTTCTGAACGGCTGACCCACGGAACCCCAGAGCATCAGAAAGTGGTTACTGGGCGCGTCACTACATCTGGAGAATGTTTCAGAGCAATAAATAACCAGAATGGAATTAAGAGCATGCCGGGGGAGAGTGAACGCCACGGGATGGGAAAGCACCGTGACGTGCCTCGCCGAGAATTTGCCCTGGGCCTCCTCGTTCCGCCGCCACTCCTTAGAAACAACTTCACACACACGCCCTCCCCAACGCTCCACACGGGGACAAGGAAGAGCAAAGGCCTTCGATCCACGGGGCCTGCAGAGGAAGCGCTGCGGCCGCGGTGGACACGCAGAGCCGGAACCAAGTTTTACTGACCACCTACTCTGTGTCAGCCGTGGCGCCAGTGTCATTACATTTAATCCATGACCTTAACAAATACCTTGGCCCCACCGCGCGCCAGGAATGGGTCTGGGAATGAGGCCACGCACAAGACAACATCCTTGTTCTCATGTGAGAACAGTAAACACCGAGGAAACAGCTGTTAACACGTCACATACATGGTGTTCAGTGCGGTGGAGAAAGAGAAAGCCAGGTAAGGGGACAGACAGTGGCATTTTAGAAAGACTCCCCACGCAGGTGGCATTTCAGCAGAGAGAGCAGGGTCGAGAAGGGGGAGCAAGTCTGTTTGACCTTGGAGCCCAGGCTCTGAGCACGATACTAAGGAAAGAATATACACGGGCCCCCAGGGCTGCGCCGGTACACTTGGAGGTGGCCCCCCACCAGGCGTGTGAACAGGAGCGGGGAGACCCCCTGCGGGCCACTCCCCGCCCCCCGCCCCCCCCCCGCCAGGGCCACGAGACGGGTACTCACACAGAGCACGTGCAGGACCACCGCTCCCTGTCTCCGGTCCTCGTTGGTGAAGATGTCATTGGGGAATTCGTGCAGGGCTACAGAACGGAGAGAGAAAAGCAGCTTAGTACAGGTGACATTTTCAGTGCTGGACGGCACTGCCATCCTTGTTCTAATACGGGGTCCACGAACTTGGATGAGAAAATGTTACACCTTTGTGTTCACAAAGCTCGACCTGGAATTCAGTGTTTCACGTTAGAAGCCAGAGCCCCAGCAGACATTTCCAGGATCCGCCGTCCTGCCATCCCCCCTGCTGTCACTCAATGCTTCATCATTCCGGTGGCGCTGAGATGCCCACTTGTGACAAAGGGTTTGCGAGGAAACACGTGAGCTCCTGCCACGCAAGTCTGTCTGCTTACACTGCAGCAACGCCACTTCAACCCGTCAGTTTCCTTCTGTAACCTCACACGTCTCCTTGCAAACACTGAAACGTTTTCCTGAGCAGAGGTCTGTAGGCTTCACGGATGACCAAGGGGTCCGTGCACACACAGGGTGAGGGTCCCCGCTCTAAACCCTCCCTCCTTTCCCTGCCCTGTGCCCCGCCTGGGCCTGGGGCCTTGGGCCGTGAGTCGCCTCTTACAACCCTCTCCCTGCCCTCACTTCTTTATCACATTTCCCTCCCCTCCCCTGGAAGTCAGGTACTGCGCAGAAACCACGAGAAATGTCCCTTTCTGTCTACTTTCCAAACCCAGGACGCTGACGGCCTCTGCAGGGCCGGCCTGACCTCAGCCCGCGGGCACTCAGAGCCCCAGACTTCCCGGCGCCGTCCGGCCCCCACGTGCGCCTGGACCTGCCTGACCCAGTGCCCCAACTCGTGGTTCTGAAGAACAACAAGGGCGGCCACGGCTTTGCCCACCTCTCTCCTGAGGCCCCTTTCATGTGCAGGAACTGTCAGTGCCCTTGGGATGGGCTGCTGCTGACGGGCCGAGATGGGCGAGGCAAGGCTGACCGCAGGACGGGCGACAGATGGGCGCTGAGTTGTCAACGGCACCCCCGCTGAGCTCGGCTCCTGGCCGGCGCTGGCCCCGGCCCTGCACTTCGCACCCACTCTCCCCCTGACCCTCCCAGGAAGTGGCTACTCCCACTTTGTGAACCTGGAACCCATTGGGCAGCAGGACTGGACACTGTACTAGAGGGCCACAGCTCGGGCCACACGCCCAGTGGACCAGGCCAGGGATGCCCTCACTGCCAGCATTCCAGCACCTGGGGTCTGTTTCCAATTTTGCTCCACCAGCTGCCCTCCTCCTTCTGGGGGCTTCCTCCAAGGGGGCCTGATCTGATCTTCGTTCTGCCCCACACACCAGAGGGAAGCAGGTGGGCCGGTTTTTCCTTTGCATTTCTCTGTGCAGCTGCCACGGGGCTTCTCAGCGCCGGCCAGTTCGGGGGTCAACATGAGCATTCTACGGCCCTCCCGGCCCTGGAAGTGGAGACGGGGTGGCATGCCAAGTTACTGTAGTGACCAGGGCAGCCATCGTCCTGGGAGAGCCGAAGCCACGGTCTGCCCTGGGAGGGGCACCGCCTAGAACAATCCCGTGTGGGGACTGCTTACATCAGCGGTGGTGGGGGGAGTGAGGTGGGCACTGAGGTGGGCTCTGTCACTGATGCGCGGAAGCCGGCTACTTCCTTCCTTCCCGCCCCTCCCACTGCCTCTGGGAAGAGTGATGTGGCTTTGGGCAAAAGATGAGACTGAGCGCAGCAGGTGCAGGGAGTGAAGGCCACGGTGCACCCCCGCTATGCTGGCTCCATCCTCCCCACCTCTCTGCCAGGGCCTGCAGGAATGGTTTGATCAAAGGTACCTTGTCAGTAAGTGATACACTTATGTTTTGATTTTAAAAATCAGGCCCTTTGATTTTCAAATCCCCTGTTCACTCAGCAGTGGGTGCAGGAGTGGAATGACCATGACTAGATGGATCCTCTGGGCGTTGAGCTTTGGTGAGGGGGGTCTCATCTAAGGTGAGGTCCTCCAGACAAACCTGGGACCTGGCTGGGGTTCTTGGAGGAGACCAGGTTGGGGGCTGTGCCCCTGGTGGGGAAGGACCCACAGAGCCCAGTGCTGGCTCCGGGAGGGCTGAGCGCTGTCCAGCGTCCTGGCCAAGCACTCTCTGAGGACGGGGACGGGGACGGGGACGGGGATCACGACCCTGGTTCTCCCCTTCAGGCTCCTCCTTCCTCCCTGCTCAGGGACCCTCCGCTCTCTTTCTCTCTGGGGGACGGAGGGCTCGGCAGTGACCCCATCTTGATCTGCCCTTCATGGCCTGGTCTCTGATCCATCACCAGCTGGAAACTCCCAGTTTCCCACGACTGGTCATGAGAGACACCGGTCCTCTACGGGAGGATTCCAGCGCGGTGGCCCTGGGGCTGGGGGCTGGGAGCAGAGCAGCTGGCCCGGTGGGACCCTCTCCCTAAGCTGAATGTGCCCGCTCAGTGGCTGGGACGAAGGGTGGGTGTGACGGGGGCCAGTGGGCAGTGGGGGAGGCGGACAGAAAGCAGTCAGTTACATGCTTTCAAACTGGCTTGCTCCCAGAACGACAACAGTCTTACTTGGCGGCTCGCAGCCACGCGGAAAGAAGGACCAGGAGAAGCACGCCCAGGAAGCCACCCTGCGGGGCCCAACCCGCCTGCCCTTTCATTACAGCCCCTCTGTGAGAACACGTGTTGGGCTGATGATAAAACAGTGACAGGGATTCCAAAGAGCTAATGCACAGCCTGCAGAGAACGCACACACCTCATCCCCCTTGGAGAGATGTACCATCTTTGGCAAAAAAACAAAAAACAAAAACATAAGAAGAGATTTCTTTTAAAAACCGAGCTGAGGCCCTCTTCCCTTGCCCTCCAAGAGATGAGCCTCCTTTCACAGGTCCCACGTGTCCCTGTCTGCAACCAGGGCCTTCCGGGATGGGCCCCAGACCAGGGTCTGAACGCCGGCCGTTTGGGTGGGCGGTGATCCCAGAGGGTGGGAGGTGAGGTGAGGAAGGGAAGGCGTGCACACGCGGTCGGCCTTGCCGGGGCCCCTCTGGGAGAGGCTGCAGGACAGCCTCAGGGCTGCCCGTGGTCCTAAACACCTCAAGGCGGACCCTGCTCAGCTCTGTACCAGCTGAGTCGAACGTGTTCCTGGGACCAGACAAGGCCCTAGACAGAGTCACAGGTGCCTCGGGAAACCACTGGCAGTCCTGGCGTGGTGATCCCTGTGTGGCCGGCGCAGTGTCTGCTGCAGCCTGTGTCCCCCACCCCTGAGGTCTCCAGACTCCCCTGGGCAGGAAGTGAAAACAGGAGGTGCGTGACGTCTCTCTGAAGAGGAACGAGGGACCGTCACCTGCTCAGCATAACTGGCATCAGCACACAGCTGCGGGGCATGGGGTGGAGGGGGCAGCAGGCCCCCTGTGCCCAGGCCTGTGCTGTGGGGACCCGCGTCCTGGGTCGGCACGGGAGGGCCCAGAGGTCGGCTTCCAGCAGAGTTGCCGCGCTGCGACGCTGGCTCTCACAAAGCAGTGATTCCATCCAGTTAGAAGCCTGTCTGGCTCCTCCACGAAGGGCAGTAGCAGACGCCCCCCGGCCGCGGAGGACGTGACTCGGGAACAGCCCTGTCACCAGAGACCCACTGGGGCAGCAGCTTCGTTCCAGGGGAGGGAGGCCCCTCACATGCCTCACTTATCAGCCCCCCGTTGTCAGTACACACAGTACCAACCCATGTACTGCTTCACTGTGGTGCTAAAGCAGTTCGGTACGATTGTGTTTCATCTTCCTAAGGAAGGGGTCATCCTGGGGCCCAGGAAAGGGGCCTCCGTCGGGCATCTGGAGCCGGGACGCTCAACTCCAGGCGCCCGTGGTGTGGCTCTGGGGACGTGTCACTTCATCTCTGGGCCGCAGTTTGCCTGTTGGCCCATCTGAAAGTGCCTGTGGTTCTTCCTCACTGCTCCCTCGAGTCCACCCACTGAGTATGGCTGGTGCATACAGCAGGCATCTAATAAGTGTCAGCAGGAGGAAGAGCTCTGAGATACGAGACTCAGAACATTGACTGGGGATGGAGCAGGTTGGCCTGACCCAGCTGGCCCAGCGGTTCAGGAAGAGCCACCAGCAGCGGCTGAGTTTGCTTTCTGAGGCCAAGCAACCCCCCGGCCAGGGTGACACAGACTCTGCACCCAAACACCCCTGGGAAACAGCGCTCTCAGAACCTGCAGCGGAGCTAAAACCAGAGGTTCCCTGTGATCCAGCAATCCCACTCTTGGACATACACCCAGAGAAAATGAATTTGAAAAGATGCATGTACCCCAGTGTTCACAGAACTATTTACAATTTACAATTTACAATAGCCAAGACATGGAAGTGACCTAAATGTCCATGGACAGATGACTGGATAAAGAAAATGTGCGTGCGTGTGTGTGTGTGTGTGTGTGTGTGTGTGTGTGTGTGTGTGTGTGTATAGTAGTAGTAA